ACGATAAACTGCATCTGCATCCTGGGTAAGGCGATATACTACGTCCAACAGCAAGGCCTCTGATCAGGAGGTTTTGAGGAGCGTCGAACTACTTCTTAATTGCTGGTGTTCCCACGTTCACCCTGACCCGGGGTGGTAGCACCTGTTAGGATACCAGCTATGGGCAAATAGTTAACACCCAATCTCGTGTAAAAATAGGTTTTAATACCAGAAATACTTTGTAATAAAAAATTATTACCAGCAATATATTTTGAATGAAAAATTATTATCAGCAATACTTTGAAAAAAATACCAGCAATAAAACAGTTATACATTCTTTGAAAAAAATATGACCAGTTATAGATTTCTTCAAGGAAAAATAGTCCCAGAAATAGATTTTTGACGAAAAACATATTACAAGCAATAAAAAAATTTTGTCGGCATTAAATAACACATTGAGTTTGATGTGCCGTAAAACAAAAACCAAACCAAACCAAACCGCTGAATATTAATGTTTTTGTTCCTAATTCTTCCACACCCTGTAACCCCTTCCTTGTGTCTTAGTGGCTTTGCTGCCTTGCATGGGTTGATAAAGATTAAAAAAAATACTTAAATTATTAAGAATTTTTTTCTTAGTTTGTAATGTCTATAAAAGTGCATTTTCAAAGCAACTGTCTTTTAATGTAACGCTGATATAATTGTTCAATAAATGAGATCAGATTTCTTTAATCATAGAATAACTCATTTTGATTTGTACATCGAGATTTTCTTGAAGATTGTTAATGAAATATAATGCCCAACAATGTTTATAAATCTAAAACATACACACTCATAGTGGCAATTAATTTATCTTTAATATTAATGTTTAGAGTGCTGTGTGACAATATGAGATTAAAGTTGACGCAGTCAGTAAGAATAGTTTAAGTGATCCTTCGTTGTAAGAAGACGGCCAACAAAATGGCCGTGGTGGGTGAAGTGTTTCTACAGAAACCTCCGCAAACTTGTTGGTATTCAAGCGATAGTTTACAGTCAATCTTAGCTTGAAGAATATGCAGATTCTTATAATATAAACACCGTGACAGAATAAGTCAAAATAATTATAAACAATTTCTGTGGCATACCATTAAATTAGACTGGTGTTATATGTGCATGGTCCTTAACCACATATATCAGGACATTTATCAACTTCTTTTAACCATTTCACCCCACGTATGGCAATAAAGACACGAAGACAGAAGCCTTTTCTTGAGTGTTAAAGAATATGAGAAAAAGAAAACATTTCTAAGGAGATATGACAATAAAAGAATAAGAATTTAAAAAAAATAAAGATTGATATTGCAAATATTGGAATCCAATGTTGGCTTCAAATTAAGAAGTCGGAATAGAGTTAAAAAAGCAATAGGTGCAAGAGAAGAAACTCTTTACATAGAACCTACGGATATATCTTGCCATTTCAACTGTAAGATGTAGAGACTTTACAACCAATTTAGTACTTCGCTGGATTTCTTAAACTCGATGTACCCAAGAGGAAACGTCATCATAAAAAATATTTATTGCACAGACACGATGAAGATATTTTACTTAAGCCGAGATGCCAGATCAGGACCAATAACATTGCATATTATTCTTTGTATTTTATCAATAATCTATAAATGCATAACAGAAGGACCAAACCAGATGTGGAAGACGTAATAAAAGCATAGACGTATGGTAGACTAACAAATGTGTAAAAGAGATTCTGGCGCGAAAAAATGTCTCCCACCACACACCGTATGAACCTTCCTAGCAGAAGAACTAGCATTTATTTTAATATAATCTTTAAACTGCATGTGAACGAAAAACGTTAGCTCGGGAAGGATCAAGGATTCATTCTCCTGGGGGTTAGCATCAGCTATACTGACAGAAAGCGAACATTTTCTCTCAGAAGATTAAAATAGAGAAGTTTTGATTTTCATTTCTTGCTACAGTTTAAGCTAAAAACGGTAACATCTCTGTTCACTTGTATTCTAATATACCCGAGACGTATTTATAAGCGTACCGAGATGAACTTCTTAAAAAAAAAAAAAAAAAAAGATTTGAGAATGTCAAATCTGCGTGGTTAACGAATTTGAAAGATGTAAGCGGTGAGAGATATATAATGGAACGACAAAAAAGCCAGTATTATAATCTAAGTTCACAGTTGAATAAAATGGCTGCCCACTCGTTGGCTGAATAGTTTTACTGAAGAGTATCAAGTGGAGTAGATGGTTTCCAGCAACCTACCAGAATGAACTCATTTTATTCTGTACTGTGCACTAAGGAAACCATTTTGTATACGTGGCTAGGATTTCTTTAAAAAAATAACTTCTTAATTTGTAGGCGTCCACAAGATAATAAAATAGAACGTACGTATTGCATTATTTTGAATTTATTTTGAATTCGCTCGAAAATGAAACCCAGGCATATTTTAGAGTTTGGCAATGCGACAATCTTCCACTTATCTACACCGGGACAACCACAAAAATGTAACCGCATACACTACCAATATGCGTGCTGTGAGTTGGTGCTACCTGGCAAACTGATTCTTATGAGACCAAAAGTTCTGTGAAAAGGTTTCACTATCACTTCCTCTCTCTTCCTACTAATTGTTTTGTAGACGCTGGAGAGTTAAAAGGGACAGTTTATTGCATATAGTTACTGTTTGCACGTATTTTATAGAGTTGGAAGTCTACTGGAGATAGCTGGTGTGGCGAGAGCTGGAGTTCAGTTGGTAATGGAAGGTGCGGTGAGAGCTGATGGAAGTTGTTGCAGCGGTGAGAGATAAAAGCCTGATGGAGTTGGCAAGAGCGGCGAGAGCTGGTGGCCTGCTGGAGATGGCAAGAACGGTAAGAGCGACGAGAGCCGGTGGCCTGCTAAAGATAGCAAAAACGGCGAGACCTGAGATTCCCTCTGGTGGGTGGCAGGAGCGACGACAGCTGGATGACGGCTGGTGATGTCAGGAGCGGTGAAAGCTGGAAACACTGCTTGAAATAGCAGGAGCGGCGACCGCTGGAGGGCCGCTGGAGATGGCAGGAGTGGCGACCGATAGCTGGAAATGATAATAGCTGGTTGTCGGCTGATGGTACATATAATAAACTTTGATCCTTGTCATCTGGGAAGGGAGGCTATATTTGTTTTCGTCTCTCTTTTATAATTGTGTAAAACATATCTTTGATTTTCATAAAATAACAGTCCCTCTAGGTTGAGGATTACTAAATGAGCTTGTTCCATAAACGTAAGAGGAGAAAATAAGTGCATATTATGAGGAAAACGATTGACGCTCGAAAATAATAGGTTAATATTGTAGTGTTTGCTAAGGTTATTCATTAGTGTGTTTCTTCCATAAAGTTGTCTGACTAGAAAGCCATTCTTACCAATGGAATAGGAAGGGAATGAATCTGGTACAAAACATGAAAGACGGTTCTTATCTGTAAATATTTCTTATAGCTGAACAAGGGCATGTGAGGGAATTTTCCATGGAAATTTCTATAGAGTAGGTTGTAGTGTTTTTTCGGGTGATTTTTTTTTGCTTGTTTTTTTTTTTCCTCTCTACGGGAGACTTTGTTAAGTTAAAAATAAGTAATCGTCAATAAGGCCGATTAAACGCATTTGAAGTTTTTCAAGGCTAGAAATTGTAAATTGAGTATATCCAGTTTAGATTTAATATCAATGCTCCTTCTTTGGGGTCTGATCTGACGCTTGTAAAGCACTATCGTTACACGGCGGAAAGTAGTCAGATACTTTCTGGTGCGGTATAAGAAGCTGATTATCTTCCCACTTTCTTTAGCGATGGATTAAGTGTAGGAGTTTTGTTTGATTGCTGGGCGAAGGTCAACACAAGGTGCCTCATTTAGGGTGTGACCATCCACCGGGAACGATGAGAATTTAAGTTCCGCCCGCGTATATATATATATATATATATATATATATATATATATATATATATATATATATATATATATGTCCCCAAAAGATAATAAATGAAGTGTGTATTAAATTGCAAACAAGATTAATGGCTTAAATTAAATATTAAATTAAATTTAAATACATGTTTAGAAATATTCAATTTGCCAACGAAGACAAAGAGTGTGCAGCATTTGGGAAAACCTATATATATATATATATATATATATATATATATATATATATATATATATATATATATATATATGTGTGTGTGTGTGTGTGAAAAGAAAGTGAGAAAAAGAGTGAGAGAGAAAAAAGCATTTCATGGACATAGAAAGAGAGGCAGCGGTAACATTACAGTCAACACTGCACGGTGACTGTCAGTTTCACGCTCTAATGCGATCTTTATACCAAGAACGGAAGAGCATTTGGAAGCGTGAAACTGATAGCAACCCCTGCAGCATTGAATCCTTTGACCACACTGTGAATGTGCGTGTATATATATATATATATATATATATATATATAGAGAGAGAGAGAGAGAGATAGATACATACATACATACATACATACATACATGCATACATACATAGATATACATGGTGTCGTCATTTTATATTTTTAATTTCGCGCATGCGCCTCGCTTGTTTTTGATTTTGTTGACTGCACCGTATAGTAGGGTCAGTTGGGCACCCTCTGTGAGAAGATCACCTTGGCACAATTCATAACCCCCAAAATCTGGAAACGGCGTATCTAATAGTCGCTTCCCACTTCGGCGTTGTGACCCTAATTCGGTAATTAGGTAAGGTTAACGTTTTCCTGCAACGTGCCTGTAACAGAAAAGTAAGAGTTCCCATACTAATTTTTCGATAACTGCCCCTGATGTAAATAAACAAATATATACAGATAAAACAAGGGAGATAAACCAAGTAAATATAAACAAATGACATAATTGAAAGAAAACCGGAAGTCTTCAAAAAGAGAAAAAAGAGGCGCCAAGCGAAAGCTAATCGAGTTCACCGTCACAGGCAACACGTTCCTTGGTCCCCGAACAGACTTAAAAAGGTTAAAGTACTCATCGGCATTGAACAAATTAGATCAGGCAACAAAAGAGCACGATCTACGTCACAACAATCCGAACATAACTACAGAAGAGGCTGATGAACGATTCCTTGAGGATACAAAGGGAACAGGATTTGTCGGCGGTCTCGCAAGAGCGGCTATCAGAGCTAAAATGGCGCTTGGACTGGACGATTACTTCAGAGGTGATATCTACAACGACGAGCTCGGCGCTGTTGATAGTATTGATTCTATACACGCGATACAAAATATGGAAACTGATGAGAGAGTGGACAGAACGCTCCAGGGGGAGAAGAGGGAAACGGATGCACTGCAACAGGGAACGCAAAAGTACTGCCGGGTCCGAGCAGTAACTTCATACAGGACCACTGTTACAACAGAGCATTCAAAAACAGGATAAAGACAACAGACATGAACAGCGTGGTGGGTACGTTCAAAAAATACGAAGCTATAAAAGAAAGTACGGAAACAGAAGAGATAAATTCGATATGACATTACGCATGGGCACAACCGGAATTTGCTGATTACATTGTTCCGTACTTCCTTTTTTGGGTGTCAATCTGAGGACAGTAGAGAAGGATTCGGAAAGACTTCCGTGAGGCTAATGGTGATTATGAAGCTACGGCAGCTCGGAAAAATCTAATCGTTCTGATGTGAAAAAATACTCTCGAATTTGTTGGTGAGTACCTCAAACTCAACACGGAGGCGTATAAATAGTCCTTTGATGGGGTAATGCTGCCCTGGGTTAGGAGGGTGGTAGCTGAAAGATCCTATGTTTGACAACAGGATTCGGCGCCATGCCACACAAGCAGGAGAACCCAGTTATGGCTGTTAGACAATTTCTATGACCAAATATTTCATCTAGATAGCTAACTTCCCAGACTGAAGCCTCCTTGATTATTATGTGTGGGTGAATATTGAGAAATCAACAAAACTCAAAAAGTGTGAATGCTGTTTTAATCCTAGCCTTCAGTTAATCTTTAGTGTTAAAAAAAAGATTAACTGAAAGCTGGGTTTAAGGCAGCATTCACCAGATTAAACAAGGAGACCGTCCACAAGAGTTGCCGGGATAATGGAGGCCGTCGTTGAAGCCAGTGGCAATTTTATTGAATAAATTTACTCTTTAGCATATCATGGTAATTTTGGTAAATATGTCTGTTAAAATGAGATGAATGTTATTTACTTTGTTGGACGCAATTCTGACGACAGTTTACACATCGCACAAATATACATACATACATACACACACACACACACACACACATATATATATATATATAAATCTACTTATATATATATATATATATATATAAATCTTTCTTTCTTTCTCTCAATATATATATATATATATATATATATATATATATATATATATATATATATAATTTGTTTAGAAAATATTTTAGCATTTATTCCTAAATAGTTTCATACTGGAATCACTTAGCTCTTTCTCTGTGCCAAACAATATATCCACTCAAATTTAAAGGTCATTTCTTAACAAAAATAATGTCTGTTGGTATTTACAAAATTCATTCAACAAAAGAATCAATATATACAAAAATATATCAGTGAAAAAAAAAAACATCGACCATCTAGTTTTATTAATTGATTTCCTGCATAGACTTTTTGCTTCATGTCGAGCATTATTTTTAACAAAATATTTCGATCTCTCAGAAAATCAACGTCCTTTACGATTTGACACATTTTCAGCAGACATTGGCCCGCTGTAGAGGCTCAGCTGATTTGAAAAGCATTGCCAGAAAAAAAAAAAAAAACATATTCCGGACTAGAATTGTCAGCAAATATTTTCTATGGAGATAGAGATAAACCACAATTAAAAATTGAGAGTTCGGCCTCTTAGCGCAAATTAGGTTTTGTATCGCGAATGCAGATTTCCTTGAATAAAATTCTTTATCGATGTCTTTTTCTCAAAACGATTTTTATATTTAATATTCCGTCGGATTTCCATCCAAATTTTCACGCACGCAAGTATACAGACACAACACACGTATATACCCACACATTCACAGACATACACGAAATCACTAAAATATATAGGAAAACTGAATGACAAAATGGTTACCTTTATTTCTATTTAGTTGATAAGGTTCACAAATATTTTGATTGCTCCTCCTAACTGCGCCAGTGCTTGAGATTTAATAGGTTCCTTTAAAATATCAACTAAATAAAAAAATATAAAACCTGCAATTATTCATATATTTTATATATAGGGGACATACGTGGATATCTAATTTTTATATTAATTTCTCTCTCTCTCCTCACTCTCTCTCTCCCTCTCTCTCTCTCTCTCTCTATATATATATATATATATATATATATATATAATTATTATTATTATTATAAAGGTACAAATACTAAGACTTCATGAGTTAATAGTTTATTTCATTAGGGTCGTAAAAACGTTAAAGAAAAGATACTGTGTTTAAGCTTTTTTTGTTATGTTTTTGCAAGTGTTTTTTTTTTTCTGGAAACAAAGTGTGTAAAAACTGTTCAAAGATTCTGCATATCCGAGCGCTTTTGGCTATTCTCTAGGACGATTTTCATTTTGAACTGAATGCGCGTTTTTTTATCTATGTACCTGAATTTTTTTTTATTTTCCAAACACGGTCAGCACCTTATATCCCTGTTAATAGTTAATTTTATTGAGTGCTTGCTCTTCCTTTTTATTATTAGTGTTTCCAATATTTTTAATCTTAAACATCTAAAACAAAGATGGCCGCCTTTATACACGACGGATACAATGTTCAGCGGCTTCTGATTGGTCAACCTTGTATTGGTCAACTATAAAGGGAATTAAGTCATTTTGACTCGCTCACTAGTTACACAGTATATTGTTTAGTTTGAATGTTGTGTTTATTTTTAGTTATTATTGGGTTCATCTCCCTTCCCTTGCATCCTATCATTATTAGAATTTTATGTATAGCATTTTATGTATCATCAAATTTTTTATGGATTTTGAGGGACAAGTTCTTGTGGGTGAATAGGTTAATTGCATATAAGATGATTAGTAAGACCAGCCACCCCTCGGCCTTGGTATTTTACATATATCCTATCATTATTATATTGTTTAGTTTTAATGTTGTGTTTATTTTATTATTGGTTCATCTCCTCCCTTGCATGAATTTTATGATTTTATGTATCATCAAATTTTTTATGGATTGGGGTTTTGGTAGGTCCCCTTGTGAGAATCTGGTATTATGGTGCATGAAGGATTGAGTGGTGAGGGACAAGTTCTTGTGGTGAATGGGTTAATTGTAACGTATGAATGGGTCGTGAATCAGATTAGCTAGCTATAAGATAGTTAGTGAAGACCAGCCTACACCCCCTCCCATTTCGGCCTTGTGCCACAATTATGTATTTTTACATAATAAATATCCTAGTTACACAGTATATACACAAAAAACCGTAACAATTTGAACCGACAGTGGCTTTTTTCGCTTAATGACTGCCGATTACCTCCTGTGACTCCTAAAAACCGTTACCATTAGAATTTTTAATAAATCGTTTGTTGGGATCTCAAATATGGCTGGAAGGTCGACCTATTTAAATCAATTCTCCTTTCTCGCATTGAAAATGGTTATATGTATTACTAATACTTTTTTTCCCTAGTCAGCTGACATGTTCTGTACCATGGATGATTTTGTTTTCACTGGGTGCGATTGGTATACTGCCGTCATTTTATATTTTTAATTTCGCACATGCGCATTGTTTATTTTAGATTATTCGACTACACGGTATAATAGGGTCAGTTGGCCACCGTCTGTGAGAAAAAGAGAACCATGATTTAATTTTATTCCGATAGAAACTTGGAAACAGCATGCCGTACTTCTTAGCATACGCACCGGAATTTCCAATACAAACATTACACAGTGTTTGGGCGGCAATCTGAGTCTAATTTTTAGTTACGAAGGTACGACAGCTCGGAAAACACATTAATCGTTGATAAAAAAAAAGAACTCCCGAATTTTGAGGGGAGGGCCTTAAACTCAACATGGAGGTATATAGCAAGTGTCTTGAGCAGGTATTGCTTCTCTGGGCCAAGAGGGTGGTTGCTGAAAGACCCTATTTCGGGTAACAGGATTCTGCAGCATGCGACACAGGAGAAACTTGTCATGGCTGTCAGGCGATTTATGCGACCAAATCACCCCTTACATCTGGCCACCTACCTCCCCAGGGTGCAAATCTCGTTTATGTTTATGTGTGAGGTGCAATTTATCGAGAGACCAATAAAACTGCTTGTAAGACCAAAGATGAAATGAAGGCAAGGATTATGGCTGCTTTCACCAAATTAAACAAGGAGACAGGCCAGAAAAGTTGCTGGAGATTCCTAAGTCGTCTTGAGGTCGTGGGTGTAGCAAATGGCAATTTTATTAAATAAATTTGCTCTTTAGTATTTGTTGTGGATTCCGGGATGAAATCCGGTCTCAAATGAATGACAAACGCAGGAATGAAATATAGCAAATAAATGTATTGACGTAATAATACAATTGGTACTACGATTAGTAGATCCAGAAATGCGGTTAGTAGCAATAATAATATATATATATACAGTCTGGGAAATTCAGTATCGAAGTATGACTTCCTTCTGAGTCTACGTGCTCGCAACTGTGACTCCTAAAAACGGTTACCTCACACACTCACCCTCTCACTCTCGTGTATTCACCGGCAGCAGTACAAGTACACACTAGACGAGTCCACTTGTATAAAAAGGTGTGGACCCCTTAACAGTATTTCAAGATATATTTATGTAATTTTGGGAAATACAGTGTAACCCGGATATAAGAGACCCGGATATAAGAGAAACCCGGATATAAGAGAGATTTTCTCTGGTCCCAAATTAGAGCCCATACTTACCTAAACAAAATAGACCAAACCCGGATATAGGAGAAACCCGGATATAAGAGACTTCTTCTCCGGTCCCGACAACTCTCTTATATCCGGGTTAAACTGTATACCTTTTAAAATAAGATGTCAGTGTTATTTTCATTTTTGCGTAAATTGGACGACAATTGTATCCTGGACATCGTTTAATTAAAACATTAACACCAACTCTTAGATCCTGGAAAGCTCTGTATATTACGTGTTAATAATGGTTAATAATCTCAATAATTATTTTGGGAGAATCTTCTTCACAAAAGTTTCTGATTTATTAGTATCCAATTGTTTTGATAACATACTCACTGTCAGGACATTGTGGAGTTTTTAATAATTCGAATCCATAAGTCGAGATTGGACATACGTAAGACTTGATCCTCTTCAGCTTCTACTACTTTGATATTCTTCTCAAATTCAAGACTTAATTTCTGGGATTCAAAAATAATGATTGAA